TTTTTTTTTTTTTTTTTTTTTTTTTTTGAGTTGGGGCTCTTTCTTAAAGGCTGGCCCTGTTTCTGAATTCTTGCCCTCTTTTCATCATATCATCATGGTCTTCTCATGTTCTATGTAATAGCTATTGAGCCAAGTTAAAAATTATATTTTTCTTCTATTTTCCCATCCATGGACTTGGTGAATGTATTTTATTGTCTAGCCAGTCTAGGAACAAACATATCCATGGCATTTGAAGTCTTCATAACTGATGGAGTGTATGTGGATTTTTTTTTTTTTTTAAACATCCTGGTGGTATACTGACTGACTGCATCTACAAGTGGCAGCAGCAGAGTTTTGCACCTGGGTTTCGTCAGCCACTTCTTACCACAAAGCAGAAGTCTACAGCCAGGGCAGTCCACCCTTCGCCATCCTTTCCTGCACATTCCTCCTCTGAACATCTAGCCAGAACCACTGAGCCTGTACACCGTCATGTGTTCATCCTTAGTTCATACAGGGTCTCTCCTCTTCACTCTCCACCCCTTCCTGGACCTCACTTTTTTCTTATGTTTGTTTGTCAGTCAATGCCACAGCTTTCTAAAGTTTTTTTGTACTTTCTTGGCAATCTAAAGTACTTTGTAACTTGCAATTCAGTGGTATGGAGCTGTTTTCTCCAGCAAGAGCAACTGAAGAGGTAAGATAAAATTAATACACAGAAAGCTCAACAATGTCAAATGATGATGGGTTTCTGTGTGGATCCCTCTATAAGATCCAATATGAAGGAGGGAAGATCTCCTGTGGTTGTTCCTCTAAGAAAAGAAAGCATAGGTTGAAATAATGAAACTGTTGAGGCTAACCATGCAAAGTGTCTTCGAATCAACCTGTTGCGGTTTCAAATATCGTTAAGTGGCTGTATTGCATATGGGACACAGAAAGGTAAGAGGGCAAACAATAGTTTCACTGCCCTTTCCTAACTGGGACACGTATCCTTTCAGTGACCTTGACGCAGTTACCAGGGTTGTCATTGTCTTCTCTGATGAATCCTTTTTTTCTTTTGCTTTTAGCTCGGGGACCTGCTTCACAAGTTACAGTTCGTCCTGACCTATGTGGCTCCTTGGCAGATGGCTTGGGGTTCTTCATTCCACGTGTTTGCTCAGCTCTTTGCTGTCCCTCATATCCTTTCTGCTTCTGTTTTCACCCCTAAGCTGAGACTTACATTTTAAAGAAGCAAGCTTTTCGTTGATGTCTGGCAGTGAAGAGACTTTAAAGTCTTTAAGATTACATTTTAATGGGGACACGAGGAGGCACTTTGGATCCCTTTAGGCCACTTAGCCTTAAAAGACGTTTCTTAATTTTGAACTCTTCCTGCTTCTTAATGCATATTCAGGAGTTACTTTTATTTTTTTCTGATCCTCCCATTTCCCAAGCCTAGATCTGCATTAAGATAGCTTGTCTTTTAAATGGAAAATCACTGCCTAAATGATTGGGTTGACTTCTGCAAAACAGTGCAATTCAATGTGCTGTTATTAAACATTGTGGATAGAGTTGATGCATTCAATGTATTATTATAAATGATATATTATTATGTTATTGTGTAGTATGGTTATCATATATATACTTCAGTAATAGTCAAAAACCCAGAATTAGGTACAAGCAGAATTATCTAGATATTTTTGAAGACTAAAAACATTAAAGATGGTTTTGTAGTTGCTATTAGCCAAGAAGCCTTGGTTCCCTTGTATATTTTAAAGTGTTTACATAGTTAATACTTAGTTTTAATTTACTTCAAAACAAATTTGAAATGCTCCTCTTTAAAGATCACATCGACGCAGCTAAGGTGTGTGTATGTGTGTATGTGTGTGTTATCTTGGAAAGATATTAATTTTTTTAAAAATTGACTCAGGCCTAAAAAGTTTGCCTTCCCACTAAATTTATACTTTGTACAAGATTCTAATTTCAAGGGGTGGGATCCTGGAATCTACTCCTTCCTAAGATTTCTTGGTGACTCTTATGCCCATCAGTGTTTGTGAATCATGGTTCTAAACTCTGGCAAGCCCTGATGGCTGCTATGAGTTCATTTTAATGACCACTCACAGCTTTCTTCTATATTAAATTTACATAAAGCTCTTTAAGACAATTCTTAAGAAAGTTCTGAGGCCCGAACTTTGGGTTACAGGGATGGAAACATACTTGTGGTAATCATTAGGTGATGATATATTCTAGACTGTTAAAAAAAGGATCTCTTCCAGTCTCATTTGTGTTTTTTCTCTTTTTTTTAAATTAAGCATACCAAGAGCTAGCCTCACAATGCACATTGTTCTGGGTTCCTATTCTTAGACCTGCATTGATATTTCTAGAGTGTTTCAAGGTTATTTGGCAGAACAAGCTAAAGGAAAAAAAATTGTAAAATCCTGAGCTTGTGTACCACCCTTTTCCTTTAATTACAATCATTTTCTATAATGCCAGTATTTTTGGTTTTTTTTAAACAGAGTCCTTTAAAACAAAAACAATGAGGTAAAATATTGAGGTGATTTTTTTCTTTCTGACATGTGTCTACGATTTCCTGTCTAGAATTTAAAGCGTGTCTAGTAAATGAAAACGATTAGATTAATGCAAATTTGTGGTTGAGGAGAATTTAAAACTTGAAGTTACGATTCCCGGTTTTGCCATAACTTTGGACTTGCACCCGTCTGTAGCATTTCTTGTTGATGTTTATGCCTCGTTAGGTGAGTTTGGTAATACTGACTACTGCTTGTAGTTCCGTGGCTGATTTATGACTGTTTCAGGAGATTTAATTTTCATTTACCTTCCCTATTATGCTTTTGAGAGCTTATATATAAGCCCGTGTTATTTGGCACTTAATACATTCTATGAGAATAAAAGCAGTGTTAGAATTTATTTCAGCTTGAGCACAGTGTACATTAAATCTAAGTACCTTCATGATGTGTAGACTCGGTCTCTTATGAAGTTGAAACATTTGAGATGTTGATTTTATTGGGCATTTGATAGTTCTGTTTTAGAACACTCAGTGGATTCCCTTGCTTTATTCCTAAAACTGGCTCTGTTAAACTGACACCTGCTTTCTCCCCTTCTGCCAACACACAGAACCTTCAAACTGACCTCCCTGGAGTCTGGCCTCTGCTGCCGTGCTATGGTTGGCAGAGTCTTTACCCTCTCTTCCTTACCCATGGACACCTTCCCGTCCTTCAGCACTTGTAGAGGTAGATATTTGCTCCTTGGAGCCCAATATCATACTGTGCGGAACATAATGAGATAAATAGTTGAGAAAACTGGATGTATATGCCACCCAGACAATGCTATTAAGTGACTAAATGTCAGCCCTGGATCTTGACTAATTTTGAACGTTAATTATTTTATCACTCTATTAAGAAGCTGTGGGCTCCATCTCAGCATTGAGAGAGGACTAATTTGCTCCATTTTGGAATTGAATTAGCTTTCAGGGCCAGCAGGGCACTGTTTGGTAAATTGCTTTTTCCAGTGCTAGCATGTTTTCTCCCTCTGTAGCCCCTGTTAGCTACTGAGCTTTTCCCTCCAGGGAAAAATGAGAATGCTTACCCTTTTAATATGTTTGGGGACTATGCAAGACCATTGTCTTCTAATAATTAGACAGACTTAGCCAGATTATTACTGTTAAACCCATAGATTGGGAAGGCTACTTCATACTCGGTACATCCTTTGAGCTTCTAATTATTTTTAAAACATTTTATTATTGACTTTGATGTTTTTATTTTAAATGTGTTTTTAAAGGACCGACCATTTGCCTCTTAGGCTAACCTCTTGGCTATTTCTTTTTGACAGAAATAAAGAGGACTTTATGTGCCCACCGCTCTTGGAAGCTCTCTTTCTTGGCACTGCCTTAGAGTAATAGTGACAGTCATTCATATTCGCCCAGAGCATGCTTTATCTCTTTATTGATCTTCCCCCAATAAAAGATCTCTATTCACCTCTGCCCTCCCTCAACCTGCTCAACTTTATTTCCTCTTCTGCCACATTGAACTTTATTTATAGGTTAGCACTAGGTTCCTCACGTCTTAATTTCTGCTCAGTTGTTTCGGGCATTTTGAAAAGGTACGACATCATCTTTGGGGAAATTTTAGAATTGAAAGGAAGAGCAATGTCAGCCTCTCTCGCACCCTGGCCAGCCCTGGCTCCACTTAGCTTTGTCCTGGTTCCTCTGTAAACCCCACAGCACCCTTCTTCCCCGGATGTGGGGACTTAGCCTTCCCCCTCCCCTTCCACCACCTCCCTTCAAGGACTCCACCTCTGACCTGACTCCGCTTTCTAATATTTTTTTCAATACCTTTACTCAAAGACGTCTCCCATGGAATTCCTTTTACTTCCAGTGACAAAGGCTATAGCTACTTTGCAGTGTTTCGTGGCAGAAGTATTTAGGTATTTTCAGCTTTCAGAAGAGGAAACTGATGGGTGATAATAGATATCACAGTAGCATATTGTTTGTATAGTTCTCTGTATAGTTTGTATAACCTAGGTCAAAATAAAAAGAATTGGATTTAAATTGCAGCACAATAGAGATCTTTTTGATACCTAAACAATTCGACACTAGAATGGATTATTAATGAAGGATGTGACATTTCACTTCTGAAAATGATTGGGAGTAGTTAAAAAAAAAAAAGACAGTTACTTTTGGAGCAAAAATCTGATCTTACATCAATGAAAATGTAGGGGAAAGTGTGGCCGGTATAAGGTTCATTCTCTTTCGGTATTTTACATATAAATGAGGTGAATAAGGAACTCTCATCTCTACCCCCACCCGTGTCTTATAACTTACTTAAAGTTATGCTAAAACACTTAGAAGTCCGAGTTATTTCTGTCTTCTTCTTGAGAGTGAGATAGTCTTCCTATCTGTGCCAAGCATTTTTTTTTAAGTGGGAATTTATTGAGAGGACAGAAGAACTCCCACAGTGGGAGGGGACCCAATGGGCTTGCCCGTTTTTCTTTTTCTTTAAACTTCTTTCCAGAACTTTTGGAATATGGGCTACGGAAATAAGGACCCCATTAGTGTAGCAGTGAGAGAAATGCAGCTGTCACCACCTTTCAGGCAGGAATATATCAGCTTTGTCAGGTCAGATCTGTAGTGGAATGAATGATCCAAGTCCTCATCCCGTAGCACAAGGAATGGTCTGGAATGGTCTGCACCTGCAGAACCCAGGCAGCCTGATCCTCCACTGACCTCTGCCACCTTCATGGATTCTGGCCATCAAGTCTCTCTTGCTCCTCCAACCACCGCCCCTCAGTGCCTCTGCAGCACAGTGAAGGGGAGTGACTGGCAGCTGTGAGTCCCAGTGATGGAGTGAGACTGGAACAGAGCCAGCCTATTCAGAGAATGGCGGTTAGCCCTCCTCCCCGCTGCTCGCCAGAGACCCGCTGGGCTGAAGCCAGAAGCGACAGCCATACAAAGTTGAATAACGAACAATTATATTTCTTATCAACCAGGGTATGTGAAACTGAGGCATGCTAGTACTTGAGAAACTTGTACAAGCCTGCTAAAGAAAGAGGTGACTTAAACCTCTTTAAGTCACACAAAATATTGTAACTTCATGTATATGTGTTTTTTGCTTTTAAACCAGACATGAATTGGTGTTCGATCTATGATATATATGTGTGTGTGTGTGTGTGTGTATACATATACACACACATATATATATATATTCAAATAGTGGGAAAATATTCTTTGAGAAACAGAGATGCTACCTTCTCAAACAATGCTATTTATTCATTTTCAAAAAGTATAATTTTAATTATTTATAAAACTAGTTAATATTTTAGTAAATGTACCACAGTATGTTTTGTTCAGCTAATATCTTAGTAAACAGAAACTCTTCTTTTAACCTTAAATATTAAATCTTGGCCTTGAGTCAACTGAGACTGCTGGGATTTTTTTATGAGAATCATTTGGTTTACATAGTGGTGAAATGAGACCTAGCAGGATACTACTGAAAGTTTTATATTTCTAAATCTGTACGTGGAGAGATGAAGTGTATGTTCTTTGTTGCTCCTTTGGTGAGAAAAATGACTTTAATGAAAACCAGTGAAAAATCTGAAATAATATTTTAAAAATATAGCCACGGAAAATTGTTTTGCCTTAACTCCACATTCTCAGATTCTGCCATGCTTTTCTTTCAGACAATTGCTACGTCAATCTTTTCTACTCCATTGAGCCCATTTCTGGGAAGCGTCATTTTCATCACGTCGTATGTCAGGCCAGTGAAATTCTGGGAGAAAAACTATAAGTAAGATCCTAAAATCAATGCTCGCTTGCTTTGCTCAGATTTGTACTTCTGAAGGCTTCTTTTCCTTCCACTGTTAGAGGTCCCTGGCTCATGCTTCACCCTGCTGTGGAGTCCAGCAAGCCTATCTCCCTAGAACACTGCTTTAGTTCATTGCCTCGACTCCAGGGTGTCAGGGCTCTGGAAGAAACAAGATAGCAATCATATACTAGTCCAGGTTTCACCAGTTGCGGAAAAGTGAGTTATTTCTGCCAGGCTTTAGCATTTGACCTAGGAAAGGTTGTTGAACAAGCCATCGTTCGTGTCATTGTATATACCTGGAGGGCACATTTTTTCCCTCTCTGTAGCATCCTTTCTGTGAATGTTTTAAATATGCAGTCCTATTTAAATGTGCACTCATCACAGCTCTACACGAAAGAGAACACCGATTTTTCGGAGTGCTGTTAAACTTGCAGAAGATTATTTTTCACTTTTTCTTGACCGTTGACCATTTACACTGATCATGCATTTCCTCAAGCAAGTGGTGATTGATGGAATGGAGGTATTATTTTTAAGGGAGGGTGAGAAGACAGTTGTAATGGTTCACTAAGTCGTTTTAAAGACCTTGTAATGATTTGCTGGAATAGAACTTGAGAACAGACGGAGGAAGAAGGAAAGAGTGTGAACCAGGCTGTCTTCAGCTGGGGCAGAGACCATAGGTCGCCTGGTGTGCTGGGCAGCCCTTCCAATTCGCATCCTCGTTGTCCTAATTTAAAGCCATACCCCTGCTTTTACATCTAAACTCTAATCCTTTTCCTATAATGTATTTACATTTTGCATAACTCTGGCACTTTACAATGTGCCTCTTATGTCTCAAAGAGGCTGACATTAAGTTAGGAGATCTGTGGTTTTGTGTTTCTCCCTAAAGATGGCTTATAAAATGCGCATCCTTCCGGCACAGTCAGTATGACATAGGGGTTAAAACACAGCCTGCCTAGGTACACACCTCACACTTAGCACTGACCTCAGACCTCCCTTTTTTCATCTATGAAATGGAGGTGAAATAATGGGACCTACTTCCTAGGCCTGTCGTGTGGAGAAAAATGAGTTAACATGCATAGAGCACCTAGAGAGTTCTTGTGTTCCTAGCAGATTCCTCATCTTCAAAGAGAGTTGTAGTTTTTGCAACAAATGTGAAGTCTTGAAATGCACACATAAACCAGGCTACTCTTTTACATTTGTCTATAGAGATATGCAAATTTGCGGAGTCAGTGGGTAAAAGAAAACTACCAGCATTGACTTGTCTTTAAGCTTTTTTTGCTTTTTTTTTTCCTTTTGAGTTGGAGTCTCACTCCATCGCCCAGACTGGAGTGCAGTGGCTGCTCCTTTGACCTGCTGGGCTCCAGCGATTCTTCAGCCTCAGCCTTCCAAGTAGCTGGAACTACAGGCATGCTACCACACCCGGCTAATTTTTTAATTTATTGTAGAGATGAGGTCTTGCCAAGTTGCCCAGGTGGGTCTCGAACCCGTGGGCTCAGGCAATCCACTCACCTCAGTCTCCCAAAGTGCTGGGATTACAGGCTGAGCCACCGAGCCTGGCTGTTTTTTTTGTTTTTGTTTTTGTTTTATTTTTAAGGAGAAAATCATTTGGGAACTTTTTGGGAGCTCTGAAAATCACACTTCTGGAAAGTGCAAATACTTGTAAATAAAAGGAGTGGCATTCTTTCATATTTTTACCTATTCAGGGAAGGAAAGTGCAAAATATTTTAGTACGCAAATTTTTTTAGGGAACCAGTCTTTCTGGCATGGGAAGACTCGATGTAAGCAAAGGACATCCTACTTGAGTCACAAAAGGCTTCAAGGATCCCCAATAGAAAGGAGAACAGAGAAATCGTTGTGCAGAGATTGTATTGGAGGGAGACATCCTAATGCCTGCACAGAGGGAGTTCTGTGTTTTGTTATTTAGCCTCCTCACTTCCAAAATTCTGTCACCCTTTTAGACGATATGTTTGGGTCTGAATTATCAGTTTATGTGGATTACTTAAATATAGAGGCTTCTAGAGCAGAATTGTGTTTATTCAGTCTCACAAAGAACCAATTCTGTTGTGACCTATTCTTTTTATTAATAAATCACATAATTTAGCACCATGTAACGTGTGTGTAATGGGGGGTGTCTATCTTTGGTTGACCTTCTGATGGTTCGGAAGGGGACTTGAGGGTCTGGGGGTATCCATCCTTTATTAGGTCTTTTTGAAAGAGCCAAAGTGAAGGAAATTTTGCTCCAGAAGAACATTTTCCCACGTGGGGAAAGACGTCTCGGTGTAAAACCCAGTCTGCTGAAGGTCTCTTGTTGCCTTCCGGGAAGGCATCAGAATGCAGAATTCTGTGGCCCATCTGCTGGAAAGATCAGTGGATGGAATTCTGGTCAACAGAGTGGTGAAAAGGAAAGGAAATGGCAGGAAATCTCATGTGCATCCTTACAAATGCTCTGGGAATCTCATTCTATGTATCTGAAACTGGTGTGTGTGTGTGTGTGTGTGCCATGTTTTGTTTTCAATGCCAAATACTGATGATTGCTAATGTTCGTAGTGGAGAACTTATACATAAGCTGTTCTAATGACCATTCTCTCTGTCTGATACAAAAGAGGAGTCAGTCAGTGTAATTGATTCTCTTTAATTTTTTCCTAGTTGTCTCAGCACTTTTTTTTTTTTTTTTTGAGTTGGAGTCTCACTCTGTCGCCCAGACTGGAGTACAGTGGCCGCTCCCGGCCACCGCAGCCTCGACCTGCTGGGCTCCAGCGATCCTTCCTCCTCAGCCTTCCAAGTAGCCAGAACTACAGGCATGCGCTACCATACCCGGCTGATTTTTTGATTTATTGTAGAGATGAGGTCTCGCTGCCCAGGTGGGTCTCGAACCCGCGGGCTCAGGCCATCCACTCACCTCAGCCTCCCAAAGGCGCGGGATGACAGACTGAGCCACCGAGTCCGGCTTGTCTCAGCACTTTTAAAAGGCCACCTAAAAAGACACTTTCCTCCAGAGCTTAGTGAGGATATTTGCCGCAGTGAAGTGCCACCACCAACCTGGACTGTGTGTGCCGAGGAGTCACCTACAGCCTCCTCTCCCTTGTCACCCCCACTCCCTCACTTTCCAGTCCCTTGGTTTTCATCTCAGGTCTTTTCAAGATGACTTTGGTGTTTGCAGGTCTTCAGTGAAACGTGCACGGGAATGAAATCACTTCACCACTCCAAGGAAGGGATAAGTAAATCACCAGCTACCTGATAACTATGACTCGTCCACTTTTGCCCAACTGGCCTGTCCTGAAGCCTGCAGACTTCCTCTTCCTTGATTTTGGGCCTCCCTGGGGCAGTTGACAAATGTGTCCCTGCTTGCCTTGTTACCCTAAACTCCTAACTAACCTGCTTGCTGCTCTCTGCCCATATATAGCTCCAGTGTAGCTGTCCTAAAACACAGCTCTCAGCGTTTCACGCTTCTCAAAAGCCTCAAGTGGCTCACTGTGCCTGAAGAACAAAAAGAAATACTATACAGACAGAGCAGCAGTGACCAATAAAAAATTCTGGATGATAAATACTCTGTGTCTGTGCTGTCCAATATGGTGGCCGCCTGCCTTATGGCTCTACTGAGCCCTTGGAATGTGGCTAGTATGACTGAGGAACTGAGTTTTTAGTTCTATTTACTTTAATTTCATTTAAATGTAAAGAGCCACCTGTGATGAAAGGCTGCCCTATGGGACAACGCAGATAGAGGCTCCTCTTACTCTCACTTTCCAGCTCATCTTCCCTAGCACTTTGCCAAACATCCCATCCTAGGGATTTTTCATTCTGAGCCTTTCCTTGGACGGGGTCTCCACACAGAACCACTTTCCCTCGACGTCTTTATTTCTCATCCGCGAGATTTTCCTGATCACCCCCAATTAGAAATTATCTTCCTTTTTCTAAACCCCTGTAGTTATTTGTCTTTATGTCCTGGTTATCTACTAGTGAATAACAAAATCTCCATGAATCTCAGTTTTTGTCTTAACACAATGGTTTCTTTTATCTCATGGTTTCTATGGGTCAGGAATTTGGGAAGGGCTGGGCTGAGTTGTGATGTGAGGTCTCTCATGCCGTTGCTGTCAGGTGGTGGCTGGGACTGAAACAGCAGACAGTTAGAACAGCTTCTGGACATCTCTCTCCCTTTGTATGTTATCTCAGAGCCTCTTCATGTGGTTTCTAGGCTGGTAACCATTTGGGCTTCCTCAGAGCATGGCAACATCAAGGCTCCAGCACACACGCCCTCTCTCACATAAGGTGAAAGTTACTTTGCTTTTTATGACCTAGCCTCAGAATTTCTACAACATTAATTCTATCTCAATCTATCGTCTACAGGCAAGTCACAAACCTACCCAGATACAAAGGGGATGGAATTATATTCGATCTCTTGATGGATACATGGTAAGGTTCAGAAGAACTTGTAGGATGAAGAGGTATTAGAGCAGTCACCTTTGAAAAATAAATCTGCTACTATGGCCGTCAGTAAATCCTGTCCAGGATTGGTATAGACTGTATGCACCTTCAATTCTGAACTTGTTTATTTTTCATCTTTGTGTCCATATGGGGTTCTGCACAGAGTCGGTATTCTATACAAATTAAGTCTAACTGTGTTATATCAGAGGGAAAAGAAATCTCAACCTGGGTCTGCCTTTGACAGAGCTAGAGAGTTTACTGCCAATCTGATATGCTCTTAACTAATATGGTTTTTAAAATCTGCCTTGATGAGCTCGGCCTGGTATCTGCATTTTCAACCCAGGCAGCTATAGCACATGCACTGTGATAATAGTGCTTTGTGTTTATACACCTTTTATGTCAGAGGATTTTAGAAAGCTTTAGAAACACATTCTGATGTTACGATTTGTCATCCTTCTCTTTGTATAGCAACATTCACCAAATAAAACCAACTTTGTCATTAACATGAAACAAATGTTTAGGCCAAAAATTATATGACATAGGTGCCCAGTATCTCAGCA